CCGGCATTTCGCATTTCGCATGTGTGTATGTGTATACCATATACCATCCTTCCCCTCTCTAATGAGAACAATAAGTTGAATGAATTTAATGAAATGAGATGTAAACATGTGGACAGCTGTGGACAAGCAGGAAAATGCGAGGCAAAGGACCCTGGCCATTGTTGCTGGCTCTCCCTTTGTCCTTCGCTTGTTTTCGAACTCGTAATGAAATTCTTGAGTAGAAATTCATTTTGCAACTTTTGCTGAAACAATGCTCATTGAATAATTTACGCCCTGCGCCACAGCACAAATGAAAAACCCAAACGAAGGGGGGTGGGAAAATGGGTAGGGGATGGGGTGTGGAAAACTGCAGCAGTGCTCCACTTAGTGAGCCACCCAGTCCCTTGGCAATCTACGTGCTTTGGGGTCCAGGCGCTGGGCATAATTGCATTAGCCGGATGCGCTGGATGTGGCTCCCATTTCCCACTTTCCACTTCCACTTTCCACTGCCACTTTCACCCCGGTTTAATGTAATTGTTTTGTGTATTTAGCCTGGACATTGCATTCAAGTATCACGACCTGCTCACTGCCCACCTCCCCACCTTCCCACCTTCCACGTAATGAGCCAATCAATGCACGCGATTCCGCGCGAGTGGGGAAAAGTTTTATTCCCGACTCAAAATGCAAATTGTTGGCAATTAACGTTTCAAGCGATTCCAGCACGAATCTACGCCAGCATCTTGGCACTGGGATAATCGGCAGGCAACTAATTAAACTAAATGTGCAGACATTTTAGCCCACAGTTAGAGTCTCCTAACCGCAAAGAGGTTCTCATCAATTATTTGCCTCCGTCAATTGCCAATTTTTGGTTGGTTCTATTTTGGAGACACTCGATATTGAGTCAATAGTACAATTCGAAAGGCAATTTAGTACTGGAAATTGAATTTACTAAAACTACTAACAAATCCTTGCTGATTTGATAAGTATTATTTTTCCTTGCCTACATTTAGGCATCTTAAAAAGAGTTTATAGAACACTAATGATTTCTGTGATACTCTTTTTATAACCACATCTCAATTTATTTACGAGATTTACTTAAACTAGTAAAAAATACTTGGTGATTTAAACAGTACAGGTAAAAAATGTTTATAGGAATTCTGGAACTTGGTTTTCTATGATTTTATTTCGATACCGAAAAGTATAAAAAAAATCATTATTATATATTAAGAGTTTCCGGGACCACTTGACTTTTTATGATTTAACATATCTGTAATGATAAATGATGCTTCATACGTATATTATTTTTATTTGCTCAAGAAAAGTACCCCACCATGAATGTTTATCCTGAAATTTCAATTAATTAATAGCATTTTACCAATTTATCGATTATTCATCCATCACGTGCAGTTTTAATGGGCTAGCAAGATAAATATCCAAAAATAATCTCAACGGAAAAATATGTTTTCAGCAATACATATACCATTTTAACATTGTTTTCGTCGGCTTTCCAATTCGAAATGAAACTGAAACAGAAAACAGGCAACGCAAGGCGAAATAATTTGCATATGGCATTTCCTGTAATCAATTGCAATCTTTTCATTCGATTGAAACTGCGAAACCAAGAGCAGAAATCAAGGGAATTAAACTCCGGGCAAACAGCAATGGGAAATTACCACAATTGATGCATATAGACATCTGGGGCATTGAGCAGACGACGATATTCCGATGCCAGTTTGCCTGCAGGCGGAAAATTTATGACAGTTTTCGGTTATTTGTGTCTGGCTGGGTTCCGTTGGGTGGCTTTCCTCTCGAAGAAGTGGCATGATGTAACCAGAAGGAGCGGCCTGCAACTGCAACTGCAGCAGCAACATCAGCAGCAGCAGCAACAGCGGCAACTGCTTACAAAATAATTGATTTTGTACACATCCTTGACACAAATAAACACTCGCTCGGCTCTGCACTAAAGTTGAATCCACACCATGGGGCTCTCACTATGCTCCATGCTCTATGCTCTATGAAAATTCTGAATTAAATCCACACAAAGCTAAAGGATTTTTAATTGAATTTGAGGGGTTTCAACAGCAAATTCAATTCGCAGTTTGCACACAGTTGCACAGAGGCGAAAGTTTAATGAATCCAATGAAGTTTTTACGCTCGACTGGAGTGTTTGTGTGCGAAAGCCGAAAACAAAAAAGGCAGAGCAAATAACCCAGCAACTAAGGGACTGAAGAAGGGCAGGTACACAGCCTGGGATATGCGACTGATTAAATCACCTGAAAACGAGCAACGCAACTCGATGCGATTCTCTCGTTCTTCGACTCCAGGATATTGAGTTTCGAAAGGCACTCGTCACTTGGCCCAAGTGCCGCAACATCCACCCACTTTTCACTGACGAGTCCCTCCTAACCCTGCACTCGACACAGTGACAAGAGTGCCTGGCTGCTGGATGCCTTTGATTCGCAATCCACTGGGGCATCAACACATCAACAGGCCGCCGAATACTGCGAATTCCGCCATCATAAATTCTGCACTCGCGTTCACAAAAACTGCCACCGAAAGAGAATGGCAGAAAGGCAGTGGCAAAAGGGCCAAGAGTGAAAGGGGGGCCCAAAGGCAGAGATTAACCCACTATGGACCATGGACTACATGAACTCTGGACCGAAGAACTGTTGGCTAATTTGCAGCTTGACTGCCGGCGTGTCGCCCTTTTTCGGGACACGGCTTAATTGAAAGTTCGGACAGGTCTTTGTGCTGCAATTTGATCACGGCATTTTTGGCCTTGTCTAAGCTGCTTTAAAGCCCAAGTCAAAGGTTCAAAGTGAAACTGACAAGGGCCTTCTTAATCCATTTATAGGAGGCGGATTCGAAAATTGGTTGTTGAAGAAGATTTTAGAAAATTTTGTTTGTTGCATACTTTTTGAATACCACATTTCCTTTTACTATCCAAACAAATGTTGGGTATTTGGAAGATAAATACGGGTCAATCCATCTATGACATATAGAGGATAAATTGAACAACTCAGCTTTCTTTTGGAACTGAAAAACATATCCCGTTAAAATATTTTATCTGTTTTGGAATCTTTAAAAAATATAACAGTTTAAAACAATTTAAAGAGTCCTTGAAATGTATTTAAATTTTCTAGTAAGCAATCTACTGCATTCCAAACATAATAAAACCAAAAAGAGAGATACAAACAAGCAATTTATCAACTATTTAAGACGATTTCTGATATTATCCCCCTTGAGATGACCTACATTTTAGAAAATCCTAATTAAAACGGAACGACGTAAGAAAAGTTAATTTATTTCTGTGTTTTAAACACATCATTTACGGTCCTGGCCGTATATCCTTGAAATGGCTTGATTGATTTAATTGCTTAATTGCCGACTGGCTGAGTGATAGACAATCGAAATGAAATACATTGGGTGAGAGGTATTTTCGCTTTCACCAACGATGGCAAAATCAATAGTGCGGCAACAGCTTAAGTAATTTGCCATTTGAAACTGGATTCCGATTCCGGCTAATTGTCTGTCAGTCGGAGAGCCAACTAAGTTGTGGCATTGGAAAACCAACTGCCGAGAGGCGAAAAAAGCCGGAGAGACTCGATTCGATTCGATTCAATTAAATTTGCATTAGGGCGAGAATGCATTAATAAATATTAAGATCTCAATTACACTTGGCAGAGCCAGGAAAAAGTGGAAAGGAGGACCTTCATAGGTGAGTGGTTAGCTGGGATTTTTTGGCAGGCAACCAAAAACGGGCGAGCCGAAAAAAGAAAAGACGAAATCAATTGAAAAGTGTTTGCCTGTCCTCCGTCCCCACTGCTTTTCCACTTTTTGGCACAATTACCAAGGCATTTTCGTTGATTTGCAGCACGTTTTTCCAGTTGCCAGCTCGAAGACGAAGACGATGATGAGGATTCCTATTCCGATTCCCATTCCCTTTGCCATTCCGGCAATGATGAAGCTGTCGTGGCACTTGAAGTGGTCCAAGATGTGGCGCACAATTGTCACAACGAGCACTGTACTATGTACTATGTACTAAAATACATATAAAGCGGGGAAAAAAATCTATCACTTTTTCCTTTGGCACTTTGAGTGGCAAGCCAACAAACCCAAAGTAGCTGCCTCGATAGCGACAATAATAATGTGAAAGAGGCCTCGTTGGCCACTGGCAGTTACCCAGAAATGTGTATCCAACTTTAACTGACTTTAAAAGTAATGAATTCCAGTAATCTCCCAGTTTTGCCCACAAAAGTAGGCAAGTTTCTAGCCCGAGGAAAAGCCATCGACATGGCCAACAATTGACAGCCGCTTTCAATATTGCCGAGTTGAGTCGCCTGCATTAAGAGTCCCTTGAAATGCACACAATTTGTATATGCATTCGAGTGGGTCTTTGTGCGTGTTCCTTGTATTTGCACTGGTGTGCACTTAAGCCGAGCTTTGTTGTCGATTGCTTGACAGTTTCTTGCACAGAGAAAAATATAACCGTAGTAATTTAAGAAAGTGGTATTGATGGAAAAGGACCATTATAGGTCCAAGTATTTTTGCAAAAGGCTTTTAAAAATATGTTTGTGAGCTTAAAACTAGTCAAACCTCACAATTATTTAACAAAAGGTGCCTAAACTATAGATAAAAGGTCGAGAGAAAAGGTCCTATAAGATACATTTACAAAAGTATCGAGCTTTTTATACAATTGATACATCGAAATTTTCTATATTTCTTATCCTCAATATTGTTTGCTATTTCCATTAGTCTATTTATAAAGCTGACTACATTGAAGATCTTATTTGGCACTCCATTCCATATACCTCTATTACAATAGCCTGTTCAGTTCAGAGGAGGGAGTTTTAAATAAGATTTTCCACAGTGTACTTGGTTAGTTCTTGATAGTTCAAAACGAAGATTGGAAGGCAGAAATCCCAGATGATGAATGCGCAGATGGAGATCCCAGCCCCAAGGCAGTCACTCCGAAGGATTGAGGATTTGGACGAAACAACTAAGAACGAGAGCAAACTCACCTGCAAGTCGGTTGCTGTGCCCGGCTGTGCCAGATCACAGGCTGATATCCAAGGATTAAGGCGTGTTAACGAAGTCGCAGTCCCGAGAATGGACTTCTTTAGGTCCACGGGTGCTGGCAAGGATGTGGTGGTGCTGCTGCTTCCTGCTGACTCGGTGGTGGCCACGGCGGACAGGCTGTTATCCTTGTGGCCAATCAACTGGGCCGTCTGGGCATCAAGGATGTGGCCGCTGCTGGCCTCTCGTTTGTTATTGTTATTATTGTTATCGTAGCTGTACTGGCTATTGGCGAACAGCTCCTTCGAGTGGCTGTGCTCGCTGTGCTGCAGGACACCCTCATCAATCAGTCGGCTCTCGTCCTGCTGCTGCTGCTCGGTTTCTGTTTCCGCTTCCGTTTCTGTCTCTGTCTCTGTTTCCGCTTCTCTCTCTGTCTCTGTCTCGCTCTCTGGCTCTGTGTCTATTTCCGTTTCCGCTTGGGGCTGCTGCTGCTTGTAGTCCTCTTCGTCGGCGTCTTCGTTGAGCTTGAACAGGCGATCGAAGGACTCCTCGGACAGCAGATCGTCCTCGGCCACCAGGGCAAAGATGTCCTGGTCCTCGTCGTCGTAGGCCTGCGATGAGGGGAACTGCACGGTCAGGCCGCGATGGGGCGACTCTTGATCCTCCTCCTGCTCCTCCTGCTGCTCCTCCTGCTGCTGGTCTCTTCCTGGCGCCCCTGTTCCTCCCGCTCTACCGGCTATATCCCTGCTGCTGCTCTCACGCCGCCGTCGCCGCTGCTGCTGCTGCCGCCTGTCCGCCACCCAGGACTCGGAGTGCTGATAGTACTCCCCCTTCGGCGGCAGCTGTGGCTGGAAGTGGAGCCCAAAGTCGAGATGGTGGGGCAGGAAAATGGGCAGCAGGTACGAGCCAGAGCTGCGAACGAATGACGATGACGATGACGATGAAGACGACGACTCGCCAGTGGACGGTAACGCGGTTGCCCTGCCCCTTGCTCCTCCTGCTGCTCCTGCTGTTGCAGATGTTGCTGCTGCAGATGCAGTTGCAGTTGCTGCTGCAGATGTCGCTGCTGCCGCTGCTGTTGGTGCTGCTGTTGCTGAGCTGAAAATGCTGCTGCTGCTGCCACGCCGAGCCCCCGAAATAAACGCAAGCGCCATCACGACCAGCCCGGGTCCTGGCCGCATATTGACCTCGGGTTCGGCGGTGCTAGCATGGTGCAGGCCCGCTTGAGACGCGCTTGCGACTCCAATTCAATGCGAGTAATGATGGGCTCATGGCCCCATCATCATCAGTAGTGTGGGCTGCGGAGCGGTATTCTTCGTTGGCTCGATCGATCGCCTCGATCCGTCTCCCGATCCGTCTCGATCCCTCTCTCGATCCACTCGGTCCAGAGCCAGAGCCGCTCCAGCTTCAGTTGCTGCCCAGCGTCCGCATCCAGCACATCCGGCATGAATCCCAGCCAGATTCCCTCCTTGTTTCTGGTTCCGTTGCAATAGCCAGCTAATCACTGGCTAATCACCGCGATTTTTACGACACACTCCGCTTAACTCTCGTTATTTTCTGTTACTCTCATAATATTATTATTTAACTATTATTATTATTGTTGTTGTATTTGTGGTTGCGATTGCGATAGCGGTTGGTGGTGGTGGTTCACAATAACCTTGGAATTGGATTTGGACATTTTGAAATTCGTTTGCTTCGTTGAATTGGTTTTTCTTTTCTTTTCTTTTCTTTATTTTTGTATGGGGTTTGGGTTGCTCACATATTTAATTAATTAAGAAATCTGCACAAAGACAAAGAAATTCTGGTTAGGCACTTTTAGGGGGCATTTTTCCGATTTTAATGTGTGTTTTTCAGTAAAAAAAATGGGGGGGGGGGTGGATGTTCGAAAATGTTTTGTGCGCTCACGCTCTCGATTTCTCAATGCGCTCTATTTGCGCTCTCTCAGAATCATTATGGTAATGCTAATGGTTAGGAATATGTTTTGGGGAACATTTTTCGTAAAAACCGACTTTAGTTAATAACTTTTAGAGGCCTTTTTAAACACTTTTTTTAGGTTTTTTTCATAACTTGCTTGAAGATTTTCCTGGCAAAGGAAAGATGAGCTCTTCGTTTTGCCGAAGTTTTTCAACGGTAAAACCGAACGAACGCGAACACCACACAAAAGAAGAAAGCCGAAAAAAACGGTCGTGGAAATCCCGTATATCTAACACACAAACACACCGATACACGGGCAGTGCAAAGAAATTTATATAATTCGCTGCTCTGCCTCTGCTTTCTCTCAGCCGCTGCTTGTTTTTGTTGGCTTCGCTGCAAACACACACACACAGCGAAGGCAGGGATCCACAAGGATGGAATCGTGGGTGTAAGCCGTGGCGCTCTCTCGCCCACCCACACACACACTCCAGAGCGCGCTCTCTCCCGCTCTCTTTGGTCCTTCGAGCGGCCCAGCGTGCGAGTGTGTGTGCGTGAGTAGTTACTTAGGGCAGCCAGGCAAGCACTCCGCATGCCACTTTTTTTCGGATTTTAGCCAAGAAGGAGAAGTTGGCCAGGAACAAGAAGAAGAAGACGACGGAAAGGGATAGGAATAAGTGTGGAACGAAGAAGGACCAAAAGAAGTCGCCCCTTTCGCTGTATTGGTGGTAAGCCCAAGCGTGTGTGTGTGCCTCTCTGGCTTTCTCTCTGTGGGAGATTCCTTGGTATTGGTGTTAGAGCCAAAGTCCAAGAAGTGGAAATCGAAGCATATTTTGAAAAAAACGCAAGAACGAAAAAAAAAGCATCCCAAATCATTTTCCTTTTCCCATTTGATTCGATAGCCCTCGAGAACGTGTGTATCACAAAGGACTCGGGAGTTTTGTTCAGCATTTTTCATGTTTCATTTCAATCCTCGATTGTCCTCTTTGCCTTCTTTCTTTCATTCTTTTTTTCGGAGGCTTTTTGCCTTCGCTCTTTGTGTGTTAACTTTCACTTTTGTTTTATTTGCTGCGTTGACACTGCGCACACACACACTCGCACACACACACGAACGCACACGCACACTCGTGGGCCATGGTGTATATGTATAAGGATTTTCTCTTTTTTTGTTGGTGCGTGTGCTGGCTGTGGGATCCTTTCATTTCAGTACAACAGCCGCTTATATAAGCCCGGAACGTAGCACGAAAACTTTGGAACACTCTGCAGCGGGTTTTGGGTTTACTTTTTTTAAGGTTTTCCTATGCCCCACGAATTGAACGGCAGCGAGCGAGTGAGAAGACCTCCCCGAAATGCGGGGGCTTTAATTTTTGCATTATATAACATTTTTTGGTAGAGGGGCTGCGACAACCGTCCGTGTTCTTTGGCGAATTAACGAGTTCGAAAGCACTTTTGGGCAACACTTTTCCTTTTCTGGAGTGGCAAATACCTATGTGGGTTCACCTATGTAAATAGGTAAATATGTACTAAATACTCGGTGGGGGTCCCTACTTCTTCTTCTTCTTCGCAGAGCGCAGCATCAACGGCCGTGTAACGGTTATTTTCGCATGTGTGTGGGCAGGGACACACGGCCGAAATGCGGGGGGCGTGGTAGTAGGCAGTGCTCGAAAGTTATGCTTGGCAGATTTTCCTGCTTCTTTTTGTGTGATTTTGATTTGAGCTATATATTTTTATGGGTTAGTTTCGTATTTATTCGTTAGTTGTATTCGCCCCCGTGAAGAACCGAGTACCGTTTTTGATTCACTGCCTGATGCTCCTTGCCTTTAGCCAATGGCTGCTGTTTTTTTTAACTGGCTAGCCTTTTGGATTTTTTTGTGTGTTTTTGTGGACGCGACGTCGCAGGACAAATACCGTACAATCCTGCTTCCTGCTGATGGCCCCAAACGGCACTGACTGTGCCACAATTGCAGATGGCGCTCGACTGGAATGTGCGAGCGGTCCTCGAGGAGCCGAGTCCTGGCCGAAGTCACCCGAAGCGGCGAACGAACTCACGCCCGAGGGCTCAGCAGCTGACAAAGGAGAGCCGCCTGCTCTCCCATGCGCTGTCGCTCTCCGGCGTCGAACTTCCAGGACTGGACCCATCCTACAGGCCTTAACAGCTGTTAACTAACAGACAGTTCGAAAACCCATTTTTAAGGCCAGTTCGAGTTGAAGTAAGAAGAATTACTTGCTGCAGGGCACTTAATCACAGCAGCGGAGAAAGAGAGAGAGTCACTCAGAAGTCCCCACTTGACTCGACTCATCTATTTCGTCCTGCCCCAGAGACCTCGCCCCTCTGATATTGCCTTTACTTTTACTTTTCGGTCTCTGGCTTTTGTGTGCGCATTTCGTTATGGCGTTTTGTCTTTGTCTCACTTGGCCTAAATGTGTAATACCCTATAATGTCGTTTAATCCCACTCGACGTGTTTTAGTTTCGCCCGCCAGCTTAGGGCAAAGTCAGTAGGAGTTGGGCTGTTGTCGCAGTCGATGGAGAGATAATTACCAGGTGCCTCGGGAGGCGATGCAGTTCCCCAGTTACAACTACCCGCCTAACCAGTTCCTGAGTTCCGGTATCCTGCAGCTACTTGATTGGCAATTAGCGGCGAGGTAATGGGACACGGCCAATGGCAGATCACAATTAATATGGCCTAGGAATATCAATTGAATATTACCTCAACAATTTGTAAAGTTTCGTTATATCGAAATTGATATACCTAGTTTAATTAAAATTAATAAAATGCTTTTGAAAATATATTACAAAAGTGAAAATTTTACGTCTTTGAATAGATTTTTATATTTCTTTTTGAACCATAATGAAAATATTACAATTTTTTTTATCCTTTTTTTTTTTTTTTTTTTATTTTTATTTTTTAATGTGAACTTGAAGTAAAATTTATAAATATACATTAACTAACTAAAATATTGATAAGACAATTTAGTACAATTCAATTACATAATGCAAAAGTTATAAAGTACTATAGATATATGTTCATCAGTCTGAATCCAAATTATATTAAATTGGAATAGTAAAAATATTTTCTTAGTAAAATGTAAGAATACCGACTTTGATATATTGCGATGATTAGTTGGAAAATTTTAATATGTTCTATATTTTCAGTGCGCAAATTTATTAGGCATTTCTATAACCAAGAGTCTGCTCATCGTTCCACCGAGTGGATGACCAATTTGATGCATACTTCTGCCGAGTTCTCGCCGGCAGTCGAATTGCGATGGACATCCAAGGCCACGCCGACCTTCAAACAGACACTCGACAGCAGCAGCAGCAGTAGCAGTAGAATCAGTGGAATCATTCGAATCGGAGGCAGTAAAAACAGAAAGCAGCCACTCACTCAATAGTTGGCGGTTAGTCGGGGCCAAAAGATGGAGGGCCTGAGGACACTGAGTGGGCGGACAGACAGGCACTTGAATTATTAAGTTTTCTTTTTTGGTAATTAACTTAAGTAACTGCCACGACAAATCAAAGGGGAAGGACTACTATGTGTAGTCCTATGGCATATTAGCCACACCCGAGCCGAGATGGAAGTGACCAAGTGAAGTGGGAAAGCAAAACAAACAGAAATCGAAAAAAATACACAGATTACTATATAACAACAAAGGGAGGCGGAAAAGGAAAATGAAAACGAAAATGAGAATGAAAAGGAAGGAAAGCGGGCGGGAATCATTTGGCTTGGAAAGCAGTTTGCTTCAATTTATGCGCATTCCAATCAATAACTGTGACACATGCAAGGACAACAGGACAGGACGAGCGGCGAAGGACCCCAAACACCATACACCGCTCACCACACACACCACCCAATAACCCAAGAGTCTAAGAATCAGCCAGGGAACCAAGAAACCCAAGAAACCCAAGGAGCCACGAGGAGAGTGAAAGTGCCAGGACATCGAGAACTTGGAAGATGGCCCGCTGCTGTGTTTGTGTGCTGTGTGTGCCTCTGTGTTTGTGGCATGGATATGAATGTGTCAAACTTATGCGGGCGCACACCCACACCCACACACACGAGCACGAGCACTCAAACACACACACGGTCGCTTGTCGGTGTGCGTGCAGAAATTGATAAGAAACGGAATAACCCACCGGGAAAATTCCTCTGGAAAATAACATATTTTCAAGAGGTTTCTCCATAGAAGCGGAAGGGACTAAACCTCATTCACCCCTTACATTTCTTCCATCTCTGGTTTCAAAATACACGGGGGTGACACAAAAAGTAAGGGGGAAATGAGGTTTCTATCTGGATCTCTGGCAGAAGAATGCAGGACAAAATCCACTGGTTTTTCGACTTCCCGCATTATAGATTTTCCACACGTACCCAGTTATGGTTTTCCTCCACTTGCAATATCTGTTTTTCTACACCCTCCCAGTTTTGGTTTTTCCAGACCCTCGCAGTTTTGGTTTTGCACTGCCTTGCAGTATCTGATTTTCCACAATAAAAATCATGTTTTTTGTAATATTTGTTTGTGTATTTATTAATAATATTTACAATCGAAGCATTGGAACTACAAATTTTTAATGCCTGAAGCATTCCCGGGTTTTGCTTGGCCGAATGCAGTTCTTAGATATCCATTTCTTGTCTGTCTTCTGAAAATATCAAACATAATTTAGATATGAATGTAAGACCAGGAATAATAATAAGAGTAATTACCATTATAAGGTCTCCGCACAAAATTAAAGGATCTCTCCAGAAATTATGCCTAGTTTGCCATGGCCGATCATTTACCCACTGTTCAGTTGTTTTATGTCGGGTATCTATATCA